ACACAGAGTTTTCATTTTTCGCCATTCTAATTTCTTTGCAAGGATGAATGTTTTAGAAAACCATTACTACTGTTCCTGCTGGTCGGCCTCGTCGTAGACGTTTAGATAAGAACAAAACAGAGCCTGTTAGGGAGGTAAGAGTTTTATGAAAGCGTATAAGTAATTCCCGCAATGAACATCAACCATTATACCACCTTAGTTATTTTATGGAAATTGTTTTGTCTGTCTTGATTCATTGGGCTACGCTCATTGCATAGACTTTTTGTGCTGATCGCTGCTGGTCCTCTTTCCTTTTTATTCCATCATTTAGGAAGTTGATGAGGATGATCAGTACATTAACAATATACTCCAAGAATTACGTGTTGAGCTTGATGTGAAACGGAGGGAAGAAGAGAGGCTGCAAAGAGAAATAGCTGATGTTCTCACAGAGTGTGCTTCAGGTATCATCATAGCCTTTTTATATCATCTACTGCGTTGAAAAGAGATGAGTGTCCTAACAGTGATGCGCTCATTTAGGAAGTACCGGTGGCGAGCAAAGTCGTGCTTTTGGTATGGCTGTGTCTCGCCTGAATAATGCAATGCTGGTGGTGGAAGCAGACGCAAAACAACTTGCTTCAAGCTTGCGAACAATCTCTAGGCTAGCAGATAATATCAGTGGCAAGGTAAGTTTTGTTGTTATTGTTCGAAACATTATTCACATAATTTTTGAATATTTCTGTTATTCTGCTATTATTCATAGAGTCGTGAAAGAACTGATTTACGTTTAGGTTTCCGCCTTGGATGTTGCAAAAACACGTGTTGTTGAGTGCCTTCAACTTGCTGGTGATATGCATGATTTAGGTACGTACATTTCATTGACGCTTAAGCTACAATTTACTATCATTTTGAATACATAGATTTTTGAGGGGTGTGTAGCGAGGAAGTGGATAAATGCATAAACAACGAAGACTATGAGCAAGCAGCACAACATATTCATCGGTTTTTAACTCTGGATAGAGCTGTTTTTCAATTCAGTAGTGCAGCTGACAAAGGTAAACGGCCTCATGTTTCATCTAAAAAACTTTTTTTTCTTGTCAGATCTTCTTTTGCATGCTTTTACGCTTTTTGTTGTGTTTTGCGAAAGAACGTTCATCTTAGCTATCAATCTTACAGAGGCTGGCCAGTCGGTATCCCATAGTTACGAAATCCTAACAAATGCCACTAGTCGTTTGAAAGAAATTCTTGAACGCAAGCTGGAAGCAGCAGTGGATTCTGAGGATGTAGCAACAATGCAAAGGTCGTTTTACCCTCCTGGTTATATGTCCAGTGTTTCGATAATTTGATGCATACTAAGCAACTACGGTTTAGATTTGTCAAGTTATTCCCACTCATAAATGAACATGACAGCGGTCTGGTACGATTCGGCAAATACTTGAGTCGACAGATTACGAAAATCGGCGAGGATAATTTGAAGGTTGCCTTTGCGCACTTTTTTCTTGTTGCTGCTTCTTAAGCCATTTTTTTCTTGCTGGACTTGCAAATGAAATCCTTGCAAGAATAGCGGCTATTATAATTTATTCAGATAATGGGTGCTGGTGGCTTAGACGATAAGAGGATAGAAGTGCTCTATGCTGACACTCTGTTTTTATTCTTTGAAGGTATATCTATTTGTAATCGATCGATCTCTTTTTCGATTCATTT